TGTAGAAGAGACATGAAGAATAGGGGACACATGTTGATGTAGAAGAGACATGAAGAAGAGGGGACACATGCTGATGTAGAAGAGACATGAAGAAGAGGGGACACATGTTGATGTAGAAGAGACATGAGGAAGTGGATTTTGCATAATAGGTGACCTTTAAAGTTCAAAAAGCTCTCTATTGTTCTCATACTGCCTGTGCTGCAGTACCTCTTTTCACCCTCTGTCTGAAACCAGAGCCCAGTCTGCTCTGATTGGTTAGCTGACCGGCCCTGTTGTGATTTGTCGACCACTTAGAGATGTCCCGCCTCTTAGCCTATCACGTACAATGTGTTTTAGTGCCAGCCAATAGAAGCGCGAGTGTGACATAATGATGTCACTCTGTGGGAAACTCCCTCTGCAGGAACACAGGGATTTTAGCCTTTTGCAGACCATTTACATGCACTAAAACCTATATAGCACGCTACAGGGAAGGGAAAACCCCAAAAAGCAGAATAGGTTAAATACAAAAAGAAGATCTAAATACAGTAAAAAAAAAAAAAGGACAAAATACTAGAACTTAAAGTGTAGAGCTGTGCAGATTTTAAATGTAGTATTGTTGAATAGAAATGTGTGTGTTCATTGATACAGTAAAGTCTCTCATCACTGTTTGTCTCCATTTCTAGATAATCCAACAATGATCTTAAACATCACCAGGGGGACGATGGTGGTTCTGGTGCTGATAATTCTGCTTCTTCTCTTTCTCTTGATGAGGTAAACTATAAAACGAAATATGTTGATATTCTACTTTGAGTATTGATTTCATACTTTGGGATTTATGATTAAAGCTTTTACTTATTTATCTGTTTGTGTTCTGATTTATTCAGGATGAACAAGGCTGGGAGCTCCACCGCGGAAGCGAATGAACCCATAGAGGGGGTGAGAGACATTATTTTACGCTAGCAACTGGTCGTTAGCAACTGGTTATATTACCTGTCGAAAATATAGGGTGAGTTTAAAAATCTACATTTACCTTATTGACTACTTTCTTATAAAGAACCAACTCACACTGAAAAACTGAAACGTTGACTTTGAATGACACACGATCCTATATTTATTTCTCGTTTCATTTTTTCAGTGTTTGTTGGAAAATGTGTGAAAACATTCGAATGGAAAGACTGAAACGTTGACTTGAATTAAATGTATTATGTCAACAAATGACACATTAGGTATTAGGTTAGTTGAAAGCAATGATATTTAGTTTAACCTAAACTTAATATTAATGCTTTCACCTAACCTAATACAATATGTGTCATTTGTGGACATATTACATTTATTTCAAATTAACGTTTCAGTTTTTTCAGAACAATGTTTTCACACATTTTCCAACAAACACTGAAAAAGGAGCAAAACATAGGAAACGTTGAATTCTGTTTGACCAAAAGTTGTGTTGACGCCTCTGACTCTCCTCTCGTTGTCTCTCCATCAGTTAGACTCTCGTTGTGAGTATGAGAACGACTCAGACCTGAACCTGGTTTCTGCAGAACGGACAGAAGAACCAGAGGAACAGGAGGAGAGCCATGTGTGAATCTTCAGAATCTGAAAGCTTTAATTATTGTTGAAATGAAGCTCAGCGCTCTTACACACTCTTCACAAATCTTCTCTCTTCTGTTTCTCCCCCCCCTAAATCCATCCACCCCAGATAATCACATTATCCCTATGGTGCATTTATTTAAGCAATGTTTACAGTTGTTCAGTCTTATAGGATGTTTAACCCATTTGTATTGCCCTCTCAAGCATGCAGAGTGGTTATTATTTAGAAAATGCAATGTTTTCTTTCATAAAGCACTTAGATTTTGTGTTATCATTATTCCATTCCATTTTGAAATTTATTTGTGGGATATAAAAACTATTCTGTAAGTGTGTCATATTCTTGTTTTTCTAAACCATCAAACTGTTGCACTGATAAGTGTCACATCTTCTGGATTTTACCCATACCAATTTCACTAAAACAGACTAACCAGCGTGAGACTCTGAATTAACTCCTTGACCCGATGAGGTTTAAAATGTGAATATTATTGACATCTGCTGGTGAGCGGCAGGTATTACAACAACAGTCAAGTTGAGGCTCTGGATTCCTGTGTGTGTGTGTGTGTGTGTGTGTGTGTGTGTGTGTGTGTGTGTGTGTGTGTGTGTGTGTGTGTGTGTGTGTGTGTGTGTGTGTGTGTGTGTGTGTGTGTGGCCTCGCATTATTATACTTGTGGGGACCTAAATCTGTTCACACAGTAACATGTGGGGAATCGCCTCCCTTATGGGGACATAATGGAGGTCCCCATAAGGGGAATCATTACTTTTAGGGTGAAGACTTGGTTAGGGTAAGGTTTAGGGT